TTCATGCCCTGCAAGTCCTAGCGTGCTTCAAGTGAATCCTTTGGCTTCCCGTACACACCCATGAATCCTAATAAGTTCACACAAAGATTCTTTGTCAGGTGCATTACGTCGATTGCGTTGCGGACCTCTAGGACTTGCCAATAGGGTAGCTCCCAAAAGATGGACTTCTTCTTTCACATGGGTGCGTGTCCCTTAGCATCTTTGGGAACAGATTCACTGCCTTGTCCCTTTCCAAATACTACTTTCACATCCTTGACCATTGCGAGTACATCTTCCCCGGTTTGGTTATGAGGCTTCTTCCGGTGGTCTGGCTTACCTTTAAAACGCTTCCCTTTCTTTCTTACTTGGTGATTCAAAGGAAGGAATCGACGATGGCCAAGGTACACGACCTTTCGACATCTTTTCAAATATATACTGTCAAGGTCATCAAAACAATGTGTGCATGCATTATATCCTTTGTTTGTCTGACCTAAAAGATTACTTAAAGCAGGCCAATCATTGATTGTTACGAACAACATTGCTCCTAGGTCAAAGTGTTCTTGTTTGTACTCATCCCAGACACGTACACCTGGTTTGTTCCATAAAACTAGAAGTTCTTCAACTAATGGCTTCAGATAAACATCAATATCGTTGCCAGGTTGCCTCGGACCTTGGATGAGAATCAGCATCATAATGAACTTCCGCTTCATGCATAACCATGGAGGAAGGTTGTAGATACATAGAGTAACTGGCCAAGTGCTATGACTAGTGCTCTGCTCTCCAAAAGGATTCATACCATCTGTACTTAAGGCGAACCTTAAGTTTCTAGCCTCATTTGCAAACTCTAGAAATTCCCTGTCTATCGCTCTCCACTGGGACCCATCAGCTGGGTGTCTCAGCATATTGTCTACCTTACGGTCTTCTTTATACCACCGCAACAACTTTACATGGTCTTTATTTCTGAATAAACGTTTTAAGCGTGGTATTATAGGAGCATACCACATAACCTTGGTAGGGATTTTCTTTCTAGGATGTTGTTCACCCTCGACGTCACCAGGATCATCGCGCCTGATCTTATACCGCGATGCTTTACATACCGGGCATTCATCCAAATTCATTGCCATGGTAGAGGATGCAGTCATTAGGACATGCATGTATCTTCTAGATTTTTAATCCCAAAGGGCAGACAACCTTTTTGCTTCGTACGTAGTGGTGGGCAATTCATTTGGCTTCGGAAGCATCTTCTTTATGAGGTTCAATAAATTCCCAAATGCCTTGTCAGATACACCATTCTTTGCCTTCCACTGTAGCAATTCCAGTGTTGTACCCAGCTTTTTTTGCCCCTCTTCGGCCGTCGGGTATAGCAACTTCCTATGATCCTCAAGCATGCGCTCGAACTTAACTTTCTCTTTTTCACTTTCCCATTCTTGTTGTGCATCATGAATGGCATCGCCAAGAGCATCACCGAGATCATCTTCTACCGCTACCTCTTCTTCATCTCCCTCCATTGTAGTATCATCAAAGGCACCATACTGAGCAATAATGTCATCAATGTCTAAATCTTCTCCTTCACCTTCTACCATCATGACCCTGCTTTCTCCATGCTTAGTCCAACATATATAGTTTGACATGAAACCTGACTTAAGCAAATATGAATGAAGACTCATTGAGCTTGAATATTCCTTTAAATTCTTACATAGGGCACATGGACAGCACATGAAACCATCCCGCTTATTTGCCTCGGTCACACCTAAGAAATAGTGCAAGCCCTCAATAAAGTCTTGGGAGTGGCGATCGGCATTGTACATCCAATGGCGTGACATAATCTGTATTACACGACAAATTATGAAAACCTTGAACATAATTAAGTATTTTATTACACAACATAGATGACACACACATGGTTGATTAATTAACTAAGCCTGGCTACAACGTAAGCAATCCCAACTATCACTAAACAAACTAAAACTACAATGCACTTCAGTAACATAATTATTTCGTGATCGTACGCAACTAAAACAGACAAATCATTCTTCTGTTGAATATCAATAAGCTTCTCCTGCTGGCTCACTGCCTCATCAGCAGCAGCCGAATTCTGCACATATGTAGCATAATCTTCCTCCCAGTACCAACCATCGCATCCATTGCCCGCCCACTGAAATTAAAGCCAAAAAATATTTAGTCAAAAATATTCAAGAAAAGCAGGTCAATTAGCCATAATAATCAAATGCGTAAGAAACTCACATTGCGATCTGGGCACTTGTAGAAAACACGACCCTTGTTGGGTCCCTGTCTCTTGACTCGGTACTCCATCACAATCTTCTGCTTACACTTGCCGCAGATAATGAGAGGGAGTTCGGCCTCGATCGCTTCAAGAACCGAACGAGAGGCCGAGGATCCGTACCAGCTTGTCATCTACTTTCTATACTTATTTTTGCAAACTCATAAATTTCACATTTTCTAAAATAATATATTTAAACAAAACTAAAATTATTTATTTATCTAACTAAACCATGAAATATGTACTATGTATAATAGTAAAATACCAAACTATCAAGTGATTTTACTATTGTAAATCATCATGTGATTTTGAGCTAAAAATGACATAGAAATCACATAGCTCAAAAACATATTTCAATAAATAACCATCCGTATTAGTTGACCTTGCTTACGTGATCATCTCGGCGAGCATTTCTCCACCGGACGGCACCAGATTTGGCCAAGGAAGAGCTCCGATTCTACGAGGAAGGAACACGGTCTTCCACGACCGCTGCCCCTCTCCCTCAGTAATCAAAGCTCCTCCTTGACGTCTGTTACCGCTTCGGCGAGAAAAATGCTCGCCGAGATGATCACGGTCCGCAAGTTCAACTAGTACGGATTTTCTACAATTTTCTAACTATTTTCTAAGTTTTTCATTTCATGGAAAAATTAATTCTAAGATCACGTAAGCCACCGGGGACGAGGATGGCGCGTGCTCCAAATGAGGACGAGCGAGGCGTGATTTTGATTAACTAATTTAACTTTTGTTTATCCAAACATATATGCAAATCATCATGTGATTTTGAGCTAAAATGACATAGAAATCACATAGCTCAAAAACATGTTTCAATAAATAACCATCCGTACTAGTTGACCTTGCTTACGTGATCATCTCGTGAGCATTTCTCCACCGGACGGCACACCGTGCTTGGCCAAGGAAGAGCTCCGATTCTACGAGGAAGGAACACGGTCTTCCACGACCGCTGCCGCTCTCCCTCGTAGAATCAAAGCTCCTCCTTGACGTCCGTTACCGCTCGACAGAGAAAATGCTCGCCGAGATGATCACGGTCCGCAAGTTCAACTAGTATGGATTTTCTACAATTTTCTAACTATTTTCTAAGTTTTTCATTTTATGGAAAAATTAATTCTAAGATCACGTAAGCCGCCGGGGACGAGGATGGCGCGTGCTCCAGCGAGACATGATTTTGATGAACTAATTTAACTTTTGTTTATCCAAACATATATGCAAATCATCATGTGATTTTGAGCTAAAAATGACATATAAAATCATAATAAAGTCCAACATATAAAGTTACACATGCATCTACATCGCAAAATGAGATAAGCTACTGATAAAACATAAGAGGATTAAGTTTGTTACCTCCAAAATCGAAGAGCAACACCAATGGAGGGGGAGAGAGCAAGAACAACAGCAAGCTGAAGAACAGAGGCAGTGAGTTTGAATGGAATGGCTCGGGCTCGGGGAGGAAGAAATGAGCCGGTATATAGGCCGGCATAATTAGTCCCGGTTAGGTGGCCAAACCAGGACTAAAGATTAATATTTATTCCCGGGGTATCACCCAAACCGGGACGGACTAAAGGTTTACCTTTAGTCCCGGTTGATAATACCAGCCGGGACTAAAGATCCCTGCCACGCGGACGACCGTTGGGTAGGGACCTTTAGTCCCGGTTGGTATTACGAACCGGGACTAAAGGGTTCTTTAGTCCCGGTGGCAAAAAATGCCGAGGCTAACGCCAAATTGGGACATCGTTCTAAAGTCTGTTCTCTAGTAGTGACACTCACCCCTATGAACACACGTACGTAAATTCTATCCCAATGAGCACCTCTGAAAGACTGTGCCGACACATATCGGGATTGACATAGTCACCGTAGGCGTCTTGCTATCGACGGGAACGTCGCCTACCACTAAAAGAACAATGCCGTTAAATTTTAGAATAAATCCAGGAAAATGCAAGCACCCATGCGAAGTCGAGGACTTGAACCCTGAGTGGATGTACAGGTTCTACCACAAGGAAACTAACTAACTGAGTTAGGCTCAGTTCGTCCCTACAAATGGATTTGTAGGGGGCCATTTACAGGGACGGTACAATATAGAGTGGTCCCTAAAAAAAATAAGGTGTTGCTACAAAAAAAAATTTAGTAGTGGGTGTTGGTCGACTTCCACCGCTGCAACACAATCGTGTGCAGCTACAAATGTAGAGACACGGCCGCCACCTTAAAAAGCAGGAAATACAAAGGACGATGCACAGTAAGAAACATTCCTAGGCACAAGTGCTGCTGCAGGGTCCACAAACCCTCAAGCGACCAATGAAATAGTTTCAATGACTTATGGCAGTTGTTTCGACATATCAATAATATGATGGCTAATAAATAAATTTCGTTCACGAGTGTGCAACCTTCAAGATCTGGTGAATAGGCAATAATCGAAGAAGACAACCCATAACATGCATGCACGCTAGCTAGCATGTGACAGCTTCAGGACTTTGCAATCCACCGTACAGATGAAAAACTTAAAGATTCATAATGTGGATAGATAGATAGATAGATAGATGGATGGATGGATGGATGGACAGAGAAACATAGATAGATAGATAGATAGATAGATAGATAGATAGACAGACAGACAGATACACAGTAATGCATGAACTGCTCTGCTTCTATATAAGCACCACCGGCGGCTCCTCTTTTCTAAAAAAAGCTTTTGCATCGGGCAGCACTCTCAGATCGAGTCGTACTAGCAATGGCCCTCATCATCAACACAAGAAGCAGCAGCCTGCACTCCATGGTTGCTGCTGTGTTCGTTGTTGGTCTGTTGGTCGTGTCGTCGTCTCTTTTCGCGTCCGCCGCCTGGTTTCCAGGTACACATATACGAACAATCAGAATGCCTCTAGATAGCGATCTACTGCTGCGCTGCAACCATGCATCTTCAGATTTATAATTAATGATGAATTATTAGCAACATAGGCTATATGTATGTATATAACACTTCCGATCACTGAGGCGTGTTGAACCTGATTTGTGCGTACGTTTGTGTTCGTAGTACTAACAAACTCAGACGTACGTGTGATGACTGATTGCATTGCATCTGTGTGCAGACTACAAGAAGGAGTGCAACAACGTAGAATATGACTGCCGCGACCAAAGAAAATCACATTTATGCCATGATTCATGCCGTGCCAAGGCCCGCTCCGAGGGCTGTAACGACTTTAAATCAACATGCGGTGATCAAGACAAGCCGCACGAGTGCTGCTGCTACATGAAGATAAAAACGTGATGGGCAAACAAATATATGTAACAAGTAGTAGCATGCATGTGTGTATTGGATCAGCCTACATATGCCTATCCATTAATCCATCCAATTATATAATATATATAAACGTGCATGTATGTCTTTGTTACATATCTTGTTCTCCTTTTTCAAAACGAGTGCATATCTTGTTCTTGAGACATTGTTTTAGATATATATAAAGGAAAAGTCGTACGACCTACGATGCATGCATCACGCCAGAGTCGTCGATCTGCATGACTCCATCTAATAAAGAAGAGATTATTCATGAGACAAGAACACACTACCACAGATCAGAAAATTCCTAACGGTTTTAACTTTTCCTGCCGGTTTCCTCCGAACCGTCAGGAATCACAAAAAAATCCTGTCGGTAACAAAAAAAACCGTCAGAAGTGGGTTAGAACATTCCTGTCGGTTCTCTGGTACCCACTGGAAATCCACAGAGCCGTCAGGAGTGCCCCAATGACTCCTGACGGTCCAGCCCAACCGATGGGTTTTCGCCCCACGCGCGCCTTCCCACAGAAAAAATTAGCAGCGCGACTTATATCCCGCACTACATTAACATGGGTCCCACTGCAGGAAATAAAACTCCCGAAACCCTACCCACACCCGCCCCCCCCCCCATTCAGATTTCTTCTGCGCCGCTGCCCACATCTCCCCGCGCCCGCGCCGCCGCCTGCAGCGACCTCCCCAGGCCGCGCTTGCAGAGGCCTCCCCACGCCGTGCTGCCTCAAGCCGAGGCCTTCCCCACGCCGCGCCGCCGGCCCTAGGGGTCTTCCTGAAGCCGCTGTCGCCCCCACGGGCCTCCCGACGGTCGTTCCACTAGGGGCCACTCTGGCACCCACACAGCCACCACCGCCAGGGGCCTCTACGGCATCTGCATCGCCGGCGCACCTTTGGTTCTCTCCCAAGTCCCAAACCGCATGAGGTGCCCCTCTCTCTCTTCCCCCTTCAATCTCTGTCTCTTTCGTTGCCGGCAGATCTATGTTCACAGTTTCATAAAATATCTCTCCCAACCTCCCTCTCAGATCTGTTCTCTCGTTGCTCTGCAGGAGTGTCGATGTTTACAACTGCAGAAAACTGATGAGATGCAAGAACTAATAGGTCAGTTTGTTTGCCCCCCAATTTTGGCTGTTTATGAAATTTCATTGGTTGTCTTTAGCAGCAGGCTTCAAAGGCTATTACAAATTTAGGCCCCCTTTGGATTTGGACTGAAGGATATGAAAAATGTAGGGATAGGAAAAACATAGGAATTAATGTGCCATGTTTCTCCAATCCTATAGGATTAACAAACACAGGAAAATAAACATAGGAATTGGTGGTCCTTAAATTCACTTCATTTCAGACAATTATAAATTATAAATGGTGCTGCTCTCTGGTCCTTAAATTCACTGCATTTCAGTTAGTAAGTGACAACAGCAAAGTTATTGGGGCTTGTTGATTACGTGGTGCATCAAACATTCAAACCCATTTTGTCGTTTCATTTCAATCACAGCATGTGCCTTTGCCAGTCCTGAGAACAAGCTAATCCTCGCCTGGTCAAATGTTCTTTGATGATACTCGAATTTGTAAATGCCACCGTGTTCTCGCAATCCTTGCAGGGACAAATAATTGTATCCTTATTATCTGTCAACGTCGCTGCATGCTTCTCTGCGGCTTCAATAAAATTGTCAACCTCTTCATGAAAAGGTGCCTCGAATCTTATCGAATCATACATCCAAGAGTTCCTGTACTCCATCTTTTAAAAATACAACACAACCAAAGAAAATATACAAAATGAGTCAAATTAATAATTAATTAATTGAGAATGATTATATATACTCCATGGTAGAGGATAATTAATCAATTGCCTACTAATATAACGCATAAATATTTGAAACGAAATATAAAATGGTTAATATATACCATCACAAAGAAATGGTCTAAAAAATTACCTTTCATGCCACCCAAAATCCAATTTCATTAAAAAAATAAAAACAAAACAAAAACCTAGATCTAGAACTAGATCTCATGCATTTGCTTTAATCAAACAAGAGTGTAATCTAGGGTCTAAAATCAAGCAAACTAGATCTCATGCATTTTCTCGTAAGACACTTTTTGAGGAATAACTGGATTAGAGGAGGCTTTCTACTTTGCCGGCTGGTGGGCCAATGGCTTCGTTTGCGGGGCGGACCTCTTAGGAGCTAGCTGCTTCTTGGTCATCAAGGGAGGCAGGGAAGCCATTGGAGACCTCCTTGGAGGCGTTGGAGACCTCCTTGGAGGTGGCGGCGGTGGAGACCTCCTTGGACTGCTCTGCTTCTATATAAGCACCACCGGCGGCTCCTCTTTTCTAAAAAAAGCTTTTGCATCGGGCAGCACTCTCAGATCGAGTCGTACTAGCAATGGCCCTCATCATCAACACAAGAAGCGCAGCAGCCTGCACTCCATGGCTGCTGCTGTGTTCGTTGTTGGTCTGTTGGTCGTGTCGTCGTCTCTTTTCGCGTCCGCCGCCTGGTTTCCAGGTACACATATACGAACAATCAGAATGCCTCTAGATAGCGATCTACTGCTGCGCTGCAACCATGCATCTTCAGATTTATAATTAATGATGAATTATTAGCAACAGAGGCTATATGTATGTATATAACACTTCCGATCACTGAGGCGTGTTGAACCTGATTTGTGCGTACGTTTGTGTTCGTAGTACTAACAAACTCAGACGTACGTGTGATGACTGATTGCATTGCATCTGTGTGCAGACTACAAGGAGTGCAACAACGTAGAATATGACTGCCGCAACCAAAGAAAATCACATTTATGCCATGATTCATGCCGTGCCAAGGCCCGCTCCGAGGGCTGTAACGACTTTAAATCAACATGCGGTGATCAAGACAAGCCGCACGAGTGCTGCTGCTACATGAAGATATAAACGTGATGGGCAAACAAATATATGTAACAAGTAGTAGCATGCATGTGTGTATTGGATCAGCCTACATATGCCTATCCATTAATCCATCCAATGATATAATATATATAAACGTGCATGTATGTCTTTGTTACATATCTTGTTCTCCTTTTTCAAAACGAGTGCAAATCTTGTTCTTGAGACATTGTTTTAGATATATATAAAGGAAAAGTCGTACGACCTACGATGCATGCATCACGCCAGAGTCGTCGATCTGCATGACTCCATCTAATAAAGAAGAGATTATTCATGAGACAAGAACACACTACCACAGATCAGAAAATTCCTAATGGTTTTAACTTTTCCTGCCGGTTTCCTCCGAACCGTCAGGAATCACAAAAAAATCCTGTCGGTAACAAAAAAAAAAACCATCAGAAGTGGGTTAGAACATTCCTGTCGGTTCTCTGGTACCCACTGGAAATTCACAGAGCCGTCAGGAGTGCCCCAATGACTCCTGACGGTCCAGCCCAACCGATGGGTTTTCGCCCCGCGCGCGCCTTCCCACCGAAAAAATTAGCAGCGCGACTTATATCCCGCACTACATTAACATGGGTCCCACTAAAGGAAATAAAACTCCCGAAACCCTACCCACACCGCCCCCCCCCCCATCCCCATTCATTTTCACCACTGCCCACATCTCCCATCTCCCAGCGCCGCCACCTGCTGCAGCGACCTCCCGGGCAGCTTGCTTGCAGGCCTCCCACGCCGTGCTGCCTCAAGCCGAGGCCTTCCCCACTCAGCGCCGCCGGCCCTAGGGGACTTCCCGAAGCCGCTGTCGCCCCCACGGGCCTCCCGACGGTCGTGCCACTAGGGGCCACTCTGGCACCCATGCAACCACCACCGCCAGGGCACTACGCCAATAAGGCTCTGTTGGGGCGCATTAAGAGCCTCTGTAGGGGCGGCTGCGCCAGCCGCTCCCCCCAGGGGGTTCCTACAAATAGGACCTATGTAGGGGCGGCTCCCTAACCGCCCCTACAAATACCTCTGTAGGGATGGCTGGTGTTTCCAGCCACCCCAACAAATGGATTTGTAGGAGCGGCTGGTGTTTTCAGCCGCCCCTACAGAGGTTATTTGTAGGGGCGGCTGGAAGCACCAGCAGCCCCTACAGTTGTTATTTGTAGGGGCGGTTCAATCTAGAACCGCCCCTACAGTGCATTTTTCAGTAAAAAAAATAATTAAAAAATTCAAATCTGTCTACAGCATATATACATCCACAGCTTATACATATATACATCCACAGAATATATAATTCAAATTCAGATCTGAACCACCATATTTATACATATATACATCCACAAGTTCAAATCACAAGTCATAATTCACAAGTCTATCATTACATAGTCCAATCCACAAGTTCAAAATCACAAGTCCATCAAATTGTTATCATCGGCCTAGAGCTAGCCTTTCAAGCTCACGAAGGTGTTGATATGTAGGATTACTACCTAAGTCGGACAGTACATCATGGTAATCACCTTTGACATTCACAATTTGGTCCAATATGAAGTTGCAAAGGTCGCCGACTAGCTCTAAGAGTTCGTCATCCTTGTACACGTCCCTTCTATGGTGCTTCTCTTCTCTCCACTACAAGAGAACAAGTTTAGGCCTAGTACTTCATAACATGAGCTATACTACGTACGGGCGAAGTGGTTCAAACTTACCAGACTAGGGTGTCTCCGATAGGCAGTTGTATTACTCATCGTAGCACATACGTAGTATCCACAATGTAGACTCCCAGGCCTCTGTTTGGGGCACTGTGTGTTTTGCATATCGAAATGTTATGTAATGCTATTGAAAGCCATGTAATGAAGTACCAAAGTTAGTTACACTTACCGCACACATAGTTTTGACAACCAACTTTTCCTTCCTTTCTGGATGATGCCTCCCTCCATGGAATGTGACATAGTGCCTGAATGCCCTGTTCGAATGATGTTAGCAGATGCAACTTGTTAGTATCCAAATGTGAAAGTTACTAGTATATATACACATATAAAAGCTAATGAGGATTGTTGATATGTATACGTCTTGACAATCGCTACGAAATCCT